TGCCCCAGCTCGCGGCGGGCGACGCCGGCGGCCTCCAGCACTCGCCCGGGGCCGGGGGCTCCATCAGCCCCGCTTCCCACCATCCCGGTTACCACGCCATCATCGACCCCCACGGCGTTGCGGACCCCTCCGTCAACGTGCCCGAGTACCCGTGGATGAAGGAGAAGAAGACCACCAGGAAGAGCAATCAACAAGGTAAGCGAGAAATCCAGGTTTTCGATGCGTACAGGGACAGATAGTGCAGAAGGTGTATATGCTGGTAGAAATGGATTCGATTGACGATCTCTTGTTGGCTGGTACTCTAGAAAGCGAGAGATGGATTAATTTTTAATTATCGTTATTTTTAAATCGAGTATGTATCGGACAGTGAGAATTTAGGAATAACTGTGATATATATATGTTGATAGGAGACAAGAAATGATTCGATTAGTATTAGTGTTATTTTTAAATCGAGTATATATCGAACAGTGAAAATTTAACAAGTAGTGGAGAAATAATAGAAGGTATATATATTGGTAGAAATAGATTCGATCGACGATCTCTTGTTGGCTGGTACTCTAGAAAGCGAGAGATGGATTAATTTTTATTTATCGTTATTTTTAAATCGAGTATGTATCGGACAGTGAGAATTTAGGTAGGAATAACTGTGATATATATATGTTGATAGGAGACAAGAAATGATTCGAATAGTATTAGTGTTATTTTTAAATCGAGTATATATCGGACAGTGAAAATTTAAGAAACAAGTAGTGGAGAAGTAATAGAAGGTATGTATATTGGTAGAAATGGATTCGATTAACGCTCTTGTTGGTGTTATTTCTTGGATCGAATATGAGAGTTTAAGATCGAAATAGATAGGAATTCGATTAATACTCTTGTTAATGTTATTTTCAAATCGAGTACATATCGAACAGTTAATACATAGAAGGTGAAAAATGGTTTCGATTAACATTCTTGTTAGTGTTACTCTTGGAGTGTATATCGAACGATGAGAGTTTAAGATCGAAATAAATAGAAATAATCGAGATATATGTTGGTAGAAGGCGAGAAATGATTCGATTAGTATTAGTGTTATTTTTAAATCGAACAGTGAAAATTTAAGGTCGAAATAAGTAGTGGAGAAGCAATGACCGATATGTACGTTGGTAGAAATGGACTCGATTTTTGTTAATGTTATTTTTAAATTGAATATATATTGAATAAGAATAATATATTGAGAGTTAATATATTTGTGAGAAATATATTCGATTAACATTTATGTTAGTGCTATTTTTAAATCGAGTATATATCGAAGTGAAAATTTAAGAAACAAGTAGTGGAGAAGTAATAGAAGATATATATGTAAAAATGGATTCGATTAATAGTTAGTGTTACTCTTGGATCGAGTGTATATCGAACAGTGAGAATTTAAGATCGAAACAGGTAGGAATAATATATATGTTGAAGACGAGAAATGATTCGATCAATGTTATTTTTAAATCGAGTATGTATCGAGCAATGAAAATTTAAGATCGAAATAGATAGTGAAGAATTAATGATCGATATATATATTAATAGAATTGGACTCGATTTTTGTTATTCTTAAATTGAATATATATCGAATAAGAATAATATATTTGGTAGGATGTGAGAAATGAATTCGATTAACACTTTTGTTAGTGTTATTCTTCAATCGAAATCGACTACATATATAAAAGGAGAAAATTTAAGATCGAAACAGGTAGTGGAGAAATAATAATTTTAGAATTAATCGAAGATATATATCGAGCAATGAGAATTTAAAATCGAAACAGGTAGTGATAGCTTTATATATGTTGATAGAAATGGACTCGATTAACTCTTATTTTTAAATTGAATATATATCGAATAAGAATAATATATTGAGAATGCAAGAAATGGATTCGTGTTAGTGTTATCGAAGTATAAATCGAACAGTGAGAATTAATACATAATATAATATATAATAACAGTGAGAGTTGGTAGAATACGAGAAATAGATTCGATTAACAGTCTTGTTAGTGTTATTCTTAATTATCGAATAAGAATAATACATTGAGAATGCAATAATAATGGATTCTTGTTATTCTTAATAAAAATCGAGTATAAATCGAAAATAAAATTAGTCGTCAAAACAGGTAGTGGAGAAGTAACACGTTGATAGAGTATTGGATTCAACCCTCTTGTTAGCTCTTGTATACTCTTAAATCGAAGGGTGAGATTGGCCACCTCAAATTTCTCGAATCGGTGAGATCGGTTTAAGATCGGCCATCCAATTTCGAAGCCCCTATCGCATCGTATTTTGCCAATTGTCCACTTTTCAACCCTTTACAACGGAGTGTATGGGAGAAAACCGTCCCTTAGCCGATCAACCCTCCATCTCCTTCTTCCTCACTTTTCCATCCAATTGTTACCCACTCCGTCCTGTGCTAATCCCCCTCCCTCCTCCCCTCTCCACGAAAAGCGCGGCGAGGAAATAATCCGACGAAGCGCGAAAATCAACCCTTTTGACTCGAGCGAAACTCATCGCTCTTCAACATTCGTTCCGGGAAGATCGATGATTCCACGACGACATCTATCAACCACCTATTCATAAGAGCGTTTAGTCGTCTGTATACACTCGTAATGGAATAATAAATCAATTAC